CTTAGAATTGTGAGTATTACAAGATATTTTGAGTTTGTTTTTTATTGAATATTCACTGTACCAGATATCTGCTCAGCAGATTACATCCCCACTTAATCAGCATACAGATCCCAGGAAGTGATTAGTAGTATTACCTCCATTTTGCAGATCAGAAAGCTGAGGCTTAGTAAGATCAGGTGACATGCCCAAGTCACAGCATTAATCTTTGGTGGATCCTGGACTTGAATTCAGCCAATGTGACTTCATAGCCCACTGTCCTAACCATTACATTATCTTGCCTGGATGAAGAATAGCATGCCTGGAGGCATTCACTTCCTTCCACCACCTGCTTTTATAGTGCCTCTTTGCATGTTGAAAAGACACTCCATGAAAAGGAAATATCTTAGCTGTTATACCACCTTCTAACGGTGGTGGCAGACTGGTTTGGAAAGCTAGATATAAACCAACCTATGGTTTGGATTTGCCAGAATCATGTGGAAGAAAATTTTAGGGGACCAGCTATACTTTCAGGTGTTCTGGAAGCTGACTAATGGTGTATACACTTAGTTACAGTTCCATTACCTTGAGAAGATATCGATGTTGAATAATATAACCTATTTGGTCTGTCTTAGTCCTAGCTGATTAGTGCTAGTTACCTAAATGATAAATTTAGCATCTTTAATTAGATGGAATTATGAAGTATAGAGCAACTTTATTTCCCAGATTTAGATAGAGCTGAGCTACCTGCACAGATTCTGAAACAGAAAACTGGAAATTTTCTACGTGGAAATTGTAGTATCTGACCCAGGTTTATTAAAGTTTGGTGTTGGAAGAATTTTATGGTCTGGTAAATGTACGTACGTCCCTCTTCAGCACATGACCGAGCCATCTGTATTCTGTGATAAATCAGTCAACACCAATTTAGCCACATATGCAGATAGGAAAAGGTCTCCCTTTTACTCTGAGTCCCATCTTTAAATTTTCATAAATTTTGCCATGTGTTGGTGCCTCCTCATTAAGAATGCTGTTCATGAAAACAAGTGAGTTTTGTTGACATTGCAATTTTTTTCTTCCCTGGATGTTCAGTAGGAGACAGAGTGTAATAAATATGAAGAGATGCAAACCGCAAATGTGTGGGGGATTTGTGTTGGCATAATGGAGGCTCAGGCAAACAAACAGATGCATGTGAAAGTCGAGTGTGGGCATGTGGTAACACCCCTCTCTTGTTCGCGGAATTACTGACCACATGTGCCTCACTGGAACGCGGATCCCTCCTGTATTCCCACGGTAGCAACAATGACACTCAGAACTGCTGCGAGCCCAGGCGCACATTCTTCACCCATCTGCTCTAGCAGCCGACACTTCCAAGTTTAATGCTCATGACTGGATTTGGTGTAGGTGTTTGCCTCCTTTCACCCTAGCAAAGTCACAAAGGACATGGGCATAAGAATGATTTCTCCCGTGCAGGTGGCTTCTAAGAGACAGCAAAGGAGAAACACCACTAATAACAACCACCCAAAATGACTGAATTCATACAAAGCTCATGTTACATTATTTAATCCTCCAGCAGCCCTGTGTGGTAGGCAAGGCACCAGGGACTGCATTGCCCTTGTCCCCAGAGAGGAAAGAGTCTCCAGAGGGGAAATGACTTGCCCAGGATCGTACAGCTCATAAGTTTTGGAGTTTCTCACATCTGCAGTTTTGTTTTGTTGACCCAAGACCCTTCATGTCTGGCCTGTTGATTCCTTCCTTTATTCGTCATTCATTCAGCATTTCCTAAGCAATCAGCTTGTATCAGGCACTAGCAATCCCATGAGGACAGAGTCCTGTCTTAAAGGAGCTCATAGCATAGTGGAGGAGATAAGCAGGTAAAGGTTATCCCAAATAGAAGTCAGAAACTTCAGACAGTGGCCTCCAGACAGGTTTTATTTAGCTGACACGTTGTTTTTAGAATTTTTAATTATTTTGAAAAAAGGAAGGTTTGACTTAAAACCCCAGCTGTATGGGTTCTTGTGGTAAACTGGAAGGTCTAGCAACATTGTTCTCATGTTCCCTTGTGGAACTGGTGGCTAGATGGAGCTGACTGTGATGGTCCCTTTGTGAGGGGCACTTGCTCACAGTGCCAGTCTCTGCCCTGTCTACTGTTCACTGCCTGGCCCCTGTGGGTGGCTGAATCTGCATTCCCCTGGGTTGCCTTGGTGATAAAGGGAAACAGCATGCTCTAGGAGAGACTGACCACAGCCAGAGTTCAGTGGAATGGAGAGGGAGCCAGGGAGGGCTTTTCAGAGAAGAGGTTGTTTGGGCTGTGATTTTCACAAAACAAAGAAAAAGGACAAGTGCTGAAAAGGACACTGTCACAGGATGAGGCACTGCATAGGAGATGACCTAGGAGCACCCAATCATGGTGCATTCAGTACTGCCAGAAGGCAAACTCCTTCAAATTGCCCTTCCTCTATGCAAAGAAAAGTCCACTTTTAATGGGTAGAACCAGATTCTTTTCTAGGGGATCCTGCAAGGACAAAATCACTGGGTCAGTTCTAGTTGCTCAGTGTCCCCTTGTGCTGAGGGAGAGAATGAGAATCAAAAGGTAGGTTTTTATAAAACTTTGCTCAAGTCTAGAAAAATCTGAACTTCCAAGTCATAATTTTTGGTGGCTTTGTGTGATCACCTTTTTCTTTCTCCAAACAGACATTCACTGGATCACAGGTGTACTGGGCATCATTTTTTTTCTTTTAAAACTGCTGACTGCCTGTGCCACCCATTTCTTCCTGGAATCTGTATCTGTGGGCATATTTTAAGAATTTTTTTTTTTTATCATTAGGAATATTCCTACAACTCAACTCTTCAAAGCCTGACAATGTGTTAAGCCAGTGGGGAGAGCTAATGCACATTTCGTGATGCCAAAATATGGCTTGCCTCAAAGGGTTCAAGTTTATGATGACACTGTGGTTGTTAAACTGTCTCGCCCTGAGATGCTAAGAGGGATGGGGGTGGGGAGCCTTTTGAGTTCCCCAGCTGTTCCTGGAGGTAGACACCCTTTTTTTTTCTTTCTCCATGTAACTGTGTGCAGGGAGATCTGGGTCACGTGGCAGCTAATGCTGCCATCCCAGGCAACTTTTTGCTCAATAACTGTTTCCCAAATGGCTACTCAGGGGGCTTTCAGAATTCACAAGAGCTGTCAGTTGTTATAGTAACCGGCCCCCTGCTGTCGAGTTGGCCCTGAGATGGCAGTCGAAGCTCTTGGAACAGGCTAACACATAGTCATTAGACAAAAGCAGGGAGAGATTCACTGCTAAAGGTTGCCATTTAAACATGTTCCATGATACTTGAAAGATGGGACTGATTCTGTTAGGCAAGTGGTGGATGGATGAATTTTTAAATCAAGCTCAGTTTTCAGAAAGGGATACTACTATGCTTAGTCTATTCTAGGTAACAACCACCTTTCTTTGGATTTCTCAGAATTAAATGTCTTCTCTCCCAGGGTTGATTATATTTGTTCTGTCAGTTTGCTCAGGTAGCCCCATTGGTTATTCAAGATATTAGTTATTGATTGTATGGCATTTGCTTCTCAGCAAAGTGTTGTCAGTTACGGGTGGTAGTTTTAAGCGCCTGTGATTGTGTGTGAGGAAAAGCTGCAGAGATAGCCGGCTCAGCTCCAAAATTCCTGAAAGAGTGAATCTGGCAGAATTCAGAGTTAGGGCTAAGGGTTGAGAAAAAGTCTAAATATTTTTGGAAGCTGCAAATTTCAAGTTTTTATGAAAATTTATAAAAACATTCCAACACACTCGTGATTTCTTCAGATTAATGTAGCCACACTGAGTATATTCGTGATATTTGGAGGACAGTCATTGTAGTTCCAGAAAGTACTCCATAGAGGGAGACAAGAAGTTCTGAATTACAGCAATCTCTCCCCTTTTTAAATCCTATCCCCAAGTTTTGGTTTCTCCAAATTTTGGTTCTTGTGCCAAGCACTTTTACCCAATATAGAATCTAATAATTATAAAAATAAAAGAAAGCTTGTATTAAGGGAGAAGAAAAACCTAACACTCAAGAAATAGAGAATGCCCATTCCTAGAAGTAAAAAGCCACCAGGTGACTCAGAAGATAACAAAATGTTAACTTCTTTTTGACTACATATCTGACTTCAGAGGTCTGTGTGAAATTCAAAAGAGATTCCCAAAAAGAGAATGTCTACATGCCTGAGTTTGTCATTGGTGTTCTAGCAACAGAGTTTGGAAAGAATAGAAATCAGTTCAGCCTGAAATCCTACAGCCTAGATGGTTTGGGGGATTAAATATACTTAAATAAACACTTTCATGTGTTCTTGTATGACAAAAGTGCATCTTCCAAATTTTACAGTCAACACTCAGATGCTACAGTTACTTAATTTTTAAGGGGAAACTAAATATAGGACTTAACATATAGTAATAACTTGCCAGCTCCTTTCCCCATCTCTCTGAGGTGCCTCCTATATATTCTACAGTCTGTATCATGAATCAGGAAAGTGTCCCAAGATAAGAGGAATACATGGGGAAAAGACAAAATCCCAGATTTGTCTAATGGCATGAAATTCAGAGAAATTTGTGGCAGAAGGGAGGCCCAAATGGTCCTCAGTAGATTTCTGCCAAGTCTGTTTATTTCAATGGCATTTTCAGCCATTCTCTTTGCCAGGGCAGTGTGTCAAAGGTGGAAAAGTAGGAATGTGAATGAGAAAGGTCATCGTGTGTTTGTGATATCCTTACCTTCCATTAACACCAGAAATAAATCAGGCTTCCAATATGTAAAGATGACTTTTATGGGCAAAGTTCCCATTTTGTATTTCATACCTCAGCATAAAAGACCTTAATTAAAACCAGCCACCTTTGTGTATAAGCATCATCTTTTGAAAATGTCCTAAATGAGGCCTGATGACAGGGTATGTCTGTGTTAGAGGGGAGGGAGGGTGTTTATGTGGAACTCTTGGTGGCCAATTGAAAATACTGCCTTCTACACCTGTTCTCTTTTGTTTTTTATCCATTTAGAGGGTGTAACAAAATAAAGTCCAAGGGCTTTCCCAGACGTTTCCATGAAGTGCCTTCTTCTGGGGAGAGAGGAGAGAAGGGGAGCAGGTGAGGGGGGGGTCTTGATGGCTGGGACTGGCTTGCCAAATTTTTGTTTTGTTGCCATGGGGATTAAAGTCTTCTAGACAGCCCAATGCTGAAACTCATCTGTTCTACCTCAACTCCCAAAAGTAAGACTTGTAAATATCAATTCAGCTTGTGGATAGCTGGTACCAGTTAAGTATGTCCCGTTTGTGCTTGCCTTGCTTTATTTTGCAGTTTTGGGGGATGTTTGTTGTTTTTAGGTTGTTACGTAGTGGGGGTGCTCTATGTTTGTGTCTGTGTGTTGCATCCATTTTATTTCTAAAATTTCAGATATTTGCATGTTTTAGAGTTTTTAAAAATATATATATAATGCATGCATTTAGTCTTATAAGTGAAAAATATCTTTTAGAAAACTAAATTTAGAGATAAGTTAGGGATGAAGAGTAGGAAGAGAAGAGAGAAGTGAGCAAATGTGGATACATACCATATGTTTTTCCATAACAAGGGTGAAATTTTTAAAAGTAAATAAATAAAAGCACATGAATTTTAGGTAGTTTGAATACTTGGAAAAATTATTGTCTTGGAAAGATTTATACTAAATGGAAGTCATGATTGCACAATTTTAATCACCACTCTTGAGCCTCTTCATAATATTTTTTTAAGGCTTATCTTAGGCAAACTATTTAATGTTAATATAATCTTTTAATATTAAATTGCTAATTAGGCTGATTCACTAATCTCTATTATATCCTGAGGAGTCCCTTTTTACATTCAATGAATCTTAGAATCTTTACATGGAAACTTAGAATTTTTACATGGAATGATTTGTCTTTATTTGTTGTGGATAAATCAGATTATTGAGATGAAATTTTAGATATCCATCCATTAAATCAGATATACTTATGATATTTGAGAAGGTATGATACAGGAATTGACATTAATAATAAAGTTCATGATCTATCTTCTTTTAAGTTATACAGTACAATTTTGGCCTTGTAGGGAAGGCAATAACTGCTGACACTGGTAACTGGTAATTATTCTGTGATCTCTTTTTATTTTCTCTTTTTACCTACTGAAGTCTTCAATTTCTAACATATTTTCAAAACTCCAAGAGTAAAAACTAAAATAGCAACCCCTCTATATAGTTTTGGATTCAAAGATCTAATCTTAAGACGGGGAGACCTTGAACATCACTTAAATACCTAACGTTCACACCCAGTCTATTATAAATATAATGTGTTTTTGAGTGTAACGCCTTAAAGAGCCAGCATCACCTCATAGATAGCCCAAAGATAAATGCACATCCAATTTCTTGGTCCTCTCCAGAAATGATGCTGTACCCTGCTACATTTATGTACTTGGCCCCCAATATGAGAGTGGGCATGTCGCAGACATATTTTTGATCATCAGAGAGATGCCTAGCAACTGTAGTTTGTTATGAGGCACTCAGTCCCTCTGGTGTCTTCTCCACTTCTGAGTAAGGGGAAACTAGGAGAAGCAAAGTCCGTTTCATCTAGGTCTAGGAGTTTGGAGCCATCTTTGGAAAGTACAAATATTTATAGAATTCATCCGATTGTGAATCATATAGTTTACCTTTTTTAATAGTGTAGTAGCTAAAAAGACAGACTTTGGATCAGAGAGATGTGGGTTCTAATTGCAGCTCTACCACTTCCTGGCCCTGTAACCAGAAATCTCTTTGAGCCTCAATTTCCTCATCTAGAAAATGGGTCCTAATGATAACTCCTTTTCATGGGGTGGTTCTGAAGATTAAAGGAGGTAGCATATGCAAAATGCTTCATGTGTGAAATATATTGTCCCATTGAGAAGATGAGGGAACTGAGGTTCTAAGAAATTAAGTTACTTGGCTAGGCTACCCTGCTTAATTGACTGAGTTGGGACTTCTGCCCCAGTGGTCTGAGTTCTGAGCAGGAACCCTTCTCCTCACCACACTTGGTGGGCTGTGCTAACTCCTACGTGAGGAAGAGATGGGCCAGATGTAGATTCTGTCCTCAGGGGCTCAAAGTCTCTGCTCTTCCTTGTGCTGGCTACCCTGCCTTACTCTGTTCCTCCAGGGCTCACAATTCCTCATCCCCTTGAGGGTTCTGTATGTTTAAGACCACTTCCTCCTCCCCTTCTCCCTTCTCTCTCCTGAGGCACTTTTGCTACTGCCTCCTCACTTATTTCCATCCTGTTGCTGCTCCATAAAAATCCTTCTGGAAGGCAGGGTGCCCCACCACCACCTCTGCCAGGCTTCTGCAGGAGGTTGGAATGATCAGGGGAAGAACTTCCACCAACCTCTCTGTCTCCCACCTTTGCCTCTCTCTGCCCACTCTTGTATCCTCTCCTGGCCTGCATCTCCATCCAAACTGTGGCCAGGAATCAGAAAAAAAAAGCACCCAAAGATACCTAAATTACAGTCCTCCAAACAGCTACAAGCACTGTTACAAAGTTGTGCCCATTAACCTAATGTGGCATTATCCTTCTACCCCTTTTGTTTAACTACACTTAGCCCAAACAGTCTTCTCCCACAGCAGGAAAGAAGGGGACTGTGCGGGCTGAGGTGCAGGGTGGAGAGGATTGCTAAAGGCAGGACAACTGCTACAAGACTGGGCAGCTGATTATCCACCTCACCTCCCCCCACCCAGAAAGGAGAGGAAAAAACAATAAAAATCAGACCCAAGTATTTACCCAAGTATTTCAAAATTTATATTTTGAGTAGGTAATATTTAACATGGTTCAAATCAAAAAGTATAAAATTATATGCACCCTTAAATCTCCATCCCATCACCCACACACCCTGTTCCCTACCTGCTCACAAATAAGTAGCCACTACTGCTAGTTTGTTGTCTGTTCTTCCAGAGATTGTTATGTATATAGAAAACAACTGTAAATATCTACGCCTTTTCCCCCATTACACAGTAGAAGACTGCATACACTATCATATACCTGGCATTTCCTACTCAACATGCTTTTTCTCTGTGCATACACTGTTTCCTCATTCATTTTTACAGAAGCACGGAATTTCTTTGTAGAGACGTGTCATGATTTATTTAACCAATTCCCTGTGACGGTCATTTTGGTTGTTTCCCGTCTTTTGTTGTTACAAACAACACTGTAGTGTATAACTTTATGTGTCATTTTGCAAGTGAATAAGTATGTCTGTAGGATAAGTTCAAGGAATTGGCTGTGTCACAGGGTACATGCATTTGCAATTTTGATGGATTGTGAGTCTTTTGTTGTTACAAACAACACTGTAGTGTATAACTTTATGTGTCATTTTGCAAGTGAATAAGTATGTCTGTAAGATAAGTTCAAGGAATTGGCTGTGTCACAGGGTACATGCATTTGCAATTTTGATGGATTGTGCCAAATTGCCCTCCACAGTGGGATACAAGTTGGGCTTCTGTCAGCACTGGATGAGCATGCCTGTTTCCCTACAGCCTCCGCAGTACAGAGTGTTGTCAAACTTTGGCATCTTTGCTAACCTCATAGGTGAAAAAGAAATGGTGTCTCAGTGTAGTTTTCCTGTGTTTTCTTTCATTATAAGCGAGGTTGAGGCATTTGTTTTTCTTTTTCTGTAAACTGTTTACATCTTTTGCCCACTTCTCCTTTGGGTTGTTAGTCTTTTTCTAATCAAGAGAGATATCCCTTATCAGTAATCTGGGTTGCAAATATTTTTTTTCCCAATTTCTAATTTGCCTTTTAACTGTGTTTATGATGCTTCTTTGAATTTTGTATAATTAAATTTATCTGTATTTTCTTGTTGTCTAGATTTTGAATTGTTGTTAGAAAGTCTTTCCATTCTGAAGTTACTTTTTTTAAAAGTACTTTTATGGTTTCAAATTTTAATAGTAAATTCTTAAGTCATTTGGAATTTAGCCTCATTGATAGTGTGATGTCTGAATTAACTTTTTTCCCCAGGTTGTCCCAAGTATTTAAAAAAGTACTACAATCTGGTGCTGTTTAGTGAAGAGACATGCAATATCTTATTAGATCCTTAAAATATCCCTCTTACAGCAAAATACAGTCAATCAGTATGTTAGTGAAAGAAGTAGTTGCCAAAAGGCTTTTACCAGACAATTTTAGATTATAAATACTGATTAATATGTGTAGGAAATAAAATTGACATTTTGTTTAAAATGTGAATTTTATTTCCTACCTCCTCCCCAAAATGAATTGGACCTTCAAGTTACCATAACCTTCCCAAATCAGCAGGGAATTGTATCAGTGCCTTCAAACAGTGGCAAATGAGGTGGAGAGTCCCTCAAGCCTCAGTCCAGATGTTCAGAACATTCCAGACTAGGGTCTGAAGAGTGAGACAGCTGCCTCAAAGTTCCTGTCTTCAAGCCTTCTTTTCTAGGCAATGGCTGGGAGCCTTGGGAAGTATTGTCCAGAGCTCACTTCCTCGAAGCCAGCTGTAATACAATATAAAAACCACTATGTTCAGGTTCTTGGTGTTGTCAAAATGTGGTTTATGAAGTAACCTTTGCTTTCTAATTTCCTGGAAATTATTACCAATACTTTAGTCGTCACTTGGTGTCTGCAAGTGTTTCTTGGCAAACAGTGTTAGCAAGAGAGTGTATTATCTTGAGAACTCTTTTATGTCTACAATTTGTTCATTTTCTCCCACATTCCTAAAGATGTTAATTGCAGTCAATTTGAATCATCCAATAAACTTCTCACTTCGGGAATCAGATTTTTGTCACTTCCAGCTGTAACAGGAGTTGACTGGAACATCTCTCCTACCCCTGTGAAATCCAAAATATTTTGAAATATCTTCTCATTTCAGTTTCATATCTGCATCCTTCTCTCACACCCCATCCATCTTCTGCATGATTTTGTTCTTTCCTCTCCCTTTTCCCCTTCCTTCCCTCACATCTGATAAGCCCTGCTTACCCTAGGTATGACAACCATATGTCCCAGGATTTCCAGGACAGCCTTGATGTGAAACATACCATTTGATTATTCCCCCAAACATATTCACATTTTTCAGATCCCATGTCCCCTTTTATGGTTTGGAAAAT